ATACGAGACCCCCGAGTAAGTCCGTATTATGTTATTGGACTTGTTAGTATATTCGTACGAGGTTTCGAGTACCTCGAGAGTGAGAATTGGATTTAAGCAAAATCTGAATTTTTGCCTTCTATTGTAATCGCACATGCGGATTTTTCACCGCAGGTGCGAGCTCGCATATGCGAGCCTTCCATCGCAGATGCGCCCAGGCATGTCAAGGCTTCGATCGCAGAAGCGTGTCCGTAGATGCGCATCAAATCACGCAGATGCGGGACTGGGCTGGCCTGGGGTCTTCGCATGTGCGACCATTTTGCTCAAATGCAGATGTCACAAGTGCGACAGGAGTATCCGCAGATGCGGAACTTCACCTGGCAGCCTGGCATCACAAATGCGAGCTTTGTCTAGCAAATGCGAGTCCGCAAATGCGTAACTCTTATCCGCAGATGCGAAAATGACTAGGTAGAGCCCATAAATTCGGAAATCACCATTTTTACTCATTTTTGAGTTTCAAGTGGATTTGGGCGATTTGAAGGGGGATTTTCACGACTTTGAATTGGGCAAGTGTTCTTTAACCAAAAGTGATTATATTTCACAAATCTATGTCTATATTCATCATTTATTTCGGATTTAGATGGAAGAAATTGGATTTTTTTATAAAATATTTCAAAAACGAAAAGTTAAGATTTGAAGGTCCATTTGATATCGGAATTGGATAATTTTTATATGGTTGAACTCGTATCGGAACGGGTGTTCGGATTTTGCGAGTTTTTTTTTCAGGATTTGAGACGTGGGGTCCCACTGTCGAATATTTTAATGAATTTAGGATTTTTATCCGAAAAATTAGTAAATTCATATTGAATTAATTCCTATGATTCATATTGACTATATTGAATTGTTTATGAATATATTTAAAGTTTTTGGAGATGAATTTAAAAAGAAAAGTTGTGGTTGAGTAATTGATTGGAATTTGCAAAGCGAGGTAAGTGTCGTGGTTAACCTTGACTTGAGAGAATAGAACCCTTAAATTATTTATTATGTGAATTGCATGTGAACGACGTATAGGCGAGGTGACGAGTGTCTATACGTCGTCAAATTAATTATTTGCCTGCTTATTTGAAAAATTATAAATTATTTTAAATCATAAATTAATTATTATAATGATTAATTCTTTCCTATTCTTTGTCAAATATTAATTCTTGAATTTCTGCATTAATTGTTACATGCTATTTGAATTATGTGTTTTAATTGTTATTTGACATTTAGTATAGTAAATATTAAACTTCCTATTTTATCCCTGATTTCTATAATAATTTGCTATTTGTCATTGTTTGTTTCATAATTAAATCACAATTGTTGTATGCTTGTTGTCTTATAATTTTATATTAATTGTTGTATTTATTGGGAAAATTTCTTCTATAAGAATTGATTGAAATGGATATATTGGAGGATCGGGTTGCACGCCGCAACAGACTTATTAAAAGTCAATATTGGAGGATCGGGTTGCACGCCGCAACAGACTTATTAAAAAGTCCATATTGGAGGATCGGGTTGCACGCCGCAACAGACTTATTAAAAGTCAATATTGAGGGATCGGATTGCACGCCGCAATAAACTTATTGGAAAGTCAATATTGGGGGTATTGGGGGATCGGATTGCACGCTGCAACAGACTTATTTAAAAGTCTATATATATACTTGATTGAAATAAATATATGACAGACTTGATTAAAAGGAAAATATTGGGAGAGCGGGTTGCACGCTGCAACATAATTGAATGTAATATATTGTGAGAGCGGGTTGCATGCTGCAACAGAATTGGTTGAAATAATAATGGATTATGACTGTTGGGTTGGATTCAATTATTATAAATGAGTTACCTGATTTATTTCTATTATTTGAAGTTGTTATTAATATTGCACACATGTTAATGTAAGTGAATCGCCTTAGCCTCGTCACTACTTCGTCGAGGTTAGGCTCAGCACTTACCAGTACTTGGGGTCGGTTGTACTGATACTACACTCTGTACTTCTTGTACAGATTTTGGGATTGGTCCCAGCGGCATACCATAGACTTGCTCGAATTTCAGCTACCAGAGGAGACTTGAGGTATAACTGCATGACGTCCACAGTTCTGAAGTCCCCATCTATTTTACTTTAGATGTGTGTTTATTTTCAGAAAACTTTATTTTATTCAGACCTTTATTTGTAATTATTCTAGAAATTCGTGCACTTGTGACACCAATTCTGGGATGGTATTTAGACACCATTATTTTTATAGATTATTTCACTATATTTCAAACTTTGATTTCGCATTTGTTTCCTTGTTATTAATAAATTTAAAATTATTTTAAAAATGGATAATATTATTCTAACGTTGGCTTGCCTAGCAAGTGAAATGTTAGGCTCCATCACGGTCCGAAGGTGGGAATTTTGGGTCGTGACACTTTCCAACTAATAGCGCAACCACCAATGCAAAATACATAGCCTCTCACTGATCTTCTTTTGTCAAGATCATCTGCATAATCTGAGTCTACAAAACCAACCAAAGTATTAATATTTCTCCCAAACTCCAAACATGTGTTTGAAGTACCTCGCAAGTATTTGAGAATCCATTTCACAGCATGCCAATGTGCTTTACCATGGCAAGCCATATACCGACTTACCACACTCACTGCTTGTGAAATGTCTGGACGTGTACAAACCATTGCATACATAATACTCCCGACTGTACTGGAATAAGGAACCTGTGCCATGTACCTCTCTTCTTCCTCTGACTGCGGGGACTGAGCAACTGATAACTTAAAATGAGCAGCAAGAGGGGTACTAACTGGTTTAGCATATTTCATGCCAAATCTCTCCAAGACTTTCTCCAAGTACTTCTCCTGGGTTAGAAATACCATATTGATTTTTCGATCTCTTTTGATCTCCATGCCAAGGATTTTCGTAGCTGCTCCCAAATCTTTCATCTCAAATTCACTTTTCAGCTGACTTTTCAAATTGTAAATTTCTGTTAAATCCTTAGCAACAATGAGCATGTCATCAATATATAATAATAGGTACACAAATGATCTGTCATTTAACTTCCGGAAGTAAACACAACTATCATACATGCTCCTCGAATAACCATGACTCAACATAAAGGAATCAAACCTTTTATACCATTGTCTTGGAGAATGCTTTAATCCGTATAAGGATTTCATCAACAAGTAAACATGATCTTTTTTTCCTTCAATTTCAAATCCTTCGGGTTGATGTATATATATTTGTTCCTCAAGTTCGCCATGTAAGAAAGTTCTCTTAACATAAAGTTATTCTAATTCCAAATCATACCTGGTAACGAAGGCAAGCAAGACAGGAATAGAGCTATGTTTAACAACATGTGAGAAAATATCATTAAAATCAACTCCTTGTACCTAACTATAGCCCTTTGCAACTAATCGTGCCTTATACCTCGCATCTTCAACCCCTGGAATGCCATTCTTTTTCTTGAAGACCCATTTGCAACCAACAATTCTTTTTCCTGATGTCGGCTTCACAAGAGACCAAGCACCATTCTTGTGGAGAGACTCAATTTCTTCATTCATTGCAATCAACCACTTACCTGAGTCAACACCATAAATTGCTTCTGAATATTTTGATGGTTCTTCAATTTCTTTAGTTTCCTGAATAGTATTAGATATATATCTTTTATATATATTTTTTATCACAAATAATATATATTCTTAACCATTACTAAGATTTAATTTGATGTAAATACAGGGGTCTGACACGACCTGTCGGAAAGTAACGGCCAAATTTCGTCAATTAGGAACACTCGAGGGGATGTCACGTCCCCCTCTTTGCCCTAAAGTTTGTCACAAAATTGGTGGGACATTACGGCGTGACACGCTCATATGCATTGCTTTCTTTGTTCCTGCAAAAATTGCTTTATAGGGTCTAATATATTCCCCAAATTGACAAAACCTCTCCTCCTTTTTTTGGCTTTCCCTTCAATTGTTCCTATATATTGAAGTTTCTCTTCTTCTTTTTTTTCATCTAAAAGTTTACTTTTGTAATATAAATTACTATAAAATATCGTTGCACTAATTACACATTCTTAATACTGAGAAGATAGAAGCACTGAGTGATGATTTTGGGCATTCTCAAATAAGGTAAATTTTAAAGCGGATTGTTGAATTTACAGGAATGTTTGTCTATCCAATACAAATACCACTGAGTGCACTGGTCCACAGTGAAAGTAGTATACTTATCTTTTGTACTGGGAATTGGTAAATAATTAATAAAATTAAACCCCGAGAACGTACTGAGAATGTATAAAACATGAAGCCTTTTGTCTCCCAAATAAGAGTTTTGAGAAGTGTTATGGGCACTGTGACTGCATCTAAGCAGACATGGATTATAGGGAACAGTAATGCCTCACCTTCACCAAGATTTTGACACTATCTATGTCTGCACTTGCCTTTCTCTTTTTCCTTTTCCATTTCCTTAATCCTCAATTCCTATGAACCCATTCCCCAAAAAATATACTACTGGTATATCTTCTGTATACAATATTCTATTTTTATATTTGGTTAATATACTAGTATAAAAATTTCAGGCACATAGTATTGTGTTATGGACAATGAGAGTGATTGTTGAAGGAACATATTTAATAGTCAAGGACTTGGATAAAAAAAAATCCTAAACTGGAAGGAATGGATAAGTAATTTATTGGTCATTGGTGGAGGGCAACTAGACACAAGGACGTACAGTGTAAATTACATAGTCCAAAAATGAAAGCAGATAAAAAAATAGATGAGTGAAGCAATAAATAAAGAGAGAGGAGAAAAAAAGGTGTGATCTAGAGAAAACAGAAAAAAAAGCTGTAAGGTGTCACTTTCAGCATAGAAAAAGAAGTATAGTGGTCAATTTGAGCTAAATAACCAAATGGTTGTAACCTGTAACTAATTAGTTATATAAAAACTAAAAGGAAAAGCCTTGGGACAATCATACCAAGTGGGACACCAGACTTAAAAGGAAAAAAAAAAGACAACTCGATTCACTAAGTTTTTGCTATGTTCGGATCATTAGAACAACCGGATCACAAGGATTTTTGTACGCAACATTACTTTGCATTTCGTCAAGAGACTATTTTCACGACTTGAACTCACGACCTCCACTGGTTTACCAGTTATACCAAAACTTTCCTTCCAAAAACTCAGGAGAAGTGAAAAGAATTTTAGAGGGTAGAAATTGAACTAAGCTAGTTGTGGCCGAATGGCAAAAGGTAAAAGAGTTTTTGGATTGGTGATATCTGCTTTTTGGGCAGTACAAAAAAGTAAAAATAGCACAAGGTTAGCAGCAGCAGAGTTGCAGTACAGTAGAGAGAGAAGTGATGATGAGATTACAAAGACCTTTAATCTTTGTTACTGACCAAACACTGCAACCCTTAGCAGTGGCATCAAAGGGTCTCTAATAAGGGGATCCTCTGCTCCTCTTAATTACTCTGCTGTTGCCCTTATTCCCTTACCTTCTTCTCTATCTATCACCCTTTCCTTTGGAGTAGTAGCAAGCAATTTTTAGTACTAACAAAATCACCACTTTTCTTTATTTTGGCCCGTGCATATAGTATTACAGAAAGATACATAAGAGAGTTGCAGTCAAACATAAAAAGCTGTGAACAAAGAGAGAAAAATGGGTTAGGCTAATGTAGTGATGACATAAATATAGGCCTTTTTGTTATTTCTCGATGGAATTAGGAAAGTTGGATGGCAGAGCCTTTTGGGGGAGGCAGCAGAAGCAGAAGTATCAGATTTCAGAGTGGTGCCAGATACAGAACATCAAAGAAGAGGAGAGTTGTGAGGAAACAAAGCAGTAAATTAAAGTATAATCAATCAAAAGCTGGAACAAGAAAAGCACAACAAGGGTCTGAGTCTGGATCCTCACAGGAATCAACACCACCATTATCATCCCAACCAAAACCAAAACCAAGATTCATCTTTAAGACATGTAGTAGAAGAGGGAAAACTAGAAGAAGAAGAAGAAGAAAACCAAGACCCTTCAGAAAAAGAACCCCAATTTTACCTCTATCCTCAACAACAAGCATTTTTCCCCCACAACCATCAGCTGCTGCCACCACAACCCCAGCCTCCCAAGAAACGTTCATACTTCCCTTCATTGGAGCAAAACGTCGAACATGCAACATTGGGAGAAAAAATGGGAGACAGTCAACACCAAAATCACCGAACCACATCAAGATTAGGCCTAAGGAGTACTGTAGGCGAGATAGTAGAAGTTCAAGGTGGTCACATTGTAAGGTCTACAGGTCGCAAAGACCGCCACAGCAAGGTTTGCACAGCCAAAGGCCCAAGGGACCGCCGTGTACGCCTCTCTGCTCATACTGCTATTCAGTTCTACGATGTCCAAGACCGCCTTGGCTATGACCGTCCTAGTAAAGCTGTGGATTGGCTCATCAAAAAAGCCAAACCCGCCATTGATGAACTAGCTGAGTTACCCGCCTGGAAACCCACACTTGGTTCTGGTTCTATTTCTGTTTCTGCTGCAAACACTAGTAATCTTGAACAAGACCAATCTCAAGATGAGAACTTTACATTCCACCAAGAAAATGCTACTACTAGTTTTTTTGATAATGCTGCTGGCCCTTCTAATAAAAGGGCTATGACAACTCTGCGGAATGAAACCAATACTAGTGGTAGCTTTCTGCCTCCATCTTTAGAATCTGATGCTATTGCTGATACTATTAAGTCCTTTTTTCCAATGGGTTCTTCAACAGCAACAAATTCTTCAGCTATGCAGTTCCAGAGCTTCCACCAAGAGACTAACAATATGTTGTCAAGAACCAGTACTCAGAACCAAGATTTAAGGCTCTCTTTACAATTTCAAGATCCTATTTTGCTGCACCACCAAAACCAGCAAGCTCAACACCAACACCAACACCAACACCAAACCAATAATCATAGGGAAGAGGTTCAAGCACAAGTAGGCCACTTTACCCCACTTGGGTTTGATACCTCGGGTTGCTGGTCGTCTATGCATCAGCAGCAGCAGCAGCAACCAGTTGGGAGGGTGCAAAGACTTGCTTCTTGGAATGATAATAGAGACACTACTGCCCAAGATGGCGGGTACTTGTTCAATTCACAACCAGGGCCAGGGCCACCGCTGTTGCAGCAGCTATTTGGCGGCCAAAATCAGTTTTATACTCAGAGGGGACCCCTTCAGTCCAGTAACACACCTTCGGTTCGAGCATGGATTGACCCAACATCATCAGCCATTGCAATTGGCTCAGCTGATCAAGCAGTATTACCCGTGTATCATCATCCATCCACAATTCCTCCTGGTTATGGATTTGCCTCTGAATTAGGCGGATTCTCTGGGTTTCGTATTCCTGCTCGAATCCAAGGTGATGAAGAGGAGCAGGATGGTATATCCGATAAGCCATCCTCTGCTTCCTCTGATTCTCGCCATTGAGTTTGGCTCCGGCAATATTCTCTTTTTATCCACTGACAGGTAATCACTTCATAAATCTTGTTCAATATTCCATTTCATTCTTGAAATGTTGTTCACTGTTGCATTGAGCTCAATTTGCAGGAATATGATTTGCTTGAATAAAATTGGAAACTTACAGAAGTGATGCTGTAAGAGATCCTGGAGCTGGAAAATGAGAAAGTTCGTTATCGAGTCTGATTCAATGGCAAATGAACCGTGTTGAAATGAATCCTGATCATCTTTTCAGGTGGTTCTTCGATCCGGTCTAATATTATTAGTTATTAAAATGTTCTTTCTTTCCGTTGTTGTGTAATGGAGCTTTTCAAGCTCAACTGCTACTCTAGGAGTGATGATATGTGTTTAGACTTTTCATGTTGCTGCTGTTTGCTTTTATTTCATGAATTGGAGACTTTCAAGCTAGAAATGGTAATGTTCTGTTAACTATCTTCAAGTCTTGGGATTCCAATTGTAGAACCATTTCTCTCAATATTAAGGCATTCTTGAATGTGATGGAGTTCCTAGTTAACCTGATTGCTGTGACATTGATATTGTTGTCTTTCCAATTTTCTTCTCTTTACAGTAAAGGGTCAATTTTTCATGTAGGTGACCGAGAGATCTATCTTTGGTTTGATAGTTGCTTTACCACTTTCTGATAAAAACAGTTTATATTTCAACAACTTCTCAAAGCCTCAAAAGGAATTGAAAGAAATAATTATGGTCGTTTTAACATCCCTATCGCTGATAGGATTTTTGGGAGCATATTAAAAGTTTAAGTCATTTTCTGTGAACAGTTGGAGTAATTAGGGTGGGTTTGAGAGTGGTAATCTGAATGCTACTTTCAGCTTCAAACTTCCTTTTAGTGACTCCCATCACCTATTTTAGCTGTCTTAGCTTTTATGGTATAGATCATTAGATGCAAGACTAAACTTTATAGTAGATAAATAAGTCTTGAAAACATCACCTACCTAATTTCCTAACGTTGAAGGGTTTGGCAGCCATTCAAGTCCTTTTTTTTTTTGTGTGTGTTGGTGGTGGTGGTGGTGGT